ATTTTTGGTTAAAACCTGTTTGTTTTTCATCCAGCAATTTTACTCAAGTAAGAGTAGCAATACTTAGTAATGTTAAAGTAGTAGTAAAAATACTTCTAAAAGTACTTTAAAAAAAAAGAAACTACCCAAGTAAATGTAATTAGTTACTACTGAACTCTCGTTATCATCTGATTCTGATCATTTCATTCTGGAGGATTTCTGGGATTCTTCAAACTTGAAGGAAAACGCTTTTTAATTTACTTAATAACGTCTCTATGGACACCCAGACGTGAGTCCAAACACAAGAAGGTGAGTTCAATTAAAATAATTCCTTCCGTCGCCTTTGCAGATGTTTTCTCTGCTGAATTTAGTCAGTTTCCCGGATCTGCAGGACTCTGACCCCAACATGACCTCTCCTGCTGTTCACCGCCTGCTCTGCTCAGATTGCTGCAGCAGGTTGGCAGCGTCCTCTCCCAGGCAGGAAGACACATGTTGGACCCTCTTTCTCCCTCCTCCTTTGCCTCCTCTTCCTCACAGCTCCGCTCAACGTCTCGTGTCTGAAACAGACACACACTCTCAGGGTGTCATCGCACGGCGACACACACCTCTCAGAGCGCCGAGGACGACTGGAGGAGGACAGAAGTTCGGCTTCAACCTGACGGTAACGTTGACTCCGTGTCTGTCTGTCCTTGGCTCCTCCCCCTGTCCCTCCGTCCCCGTCGTCTGTCTCTCTGCTGTCTGAGTCATGGCAGAGCATCCTGACATGTTTGGGAATTACAGGAGATTTATTTTCAGTTGTTAATGGCTTGTAATTAGCAGCTTTTACTGCATTTGTTTACATTCCAGCAGCCTGACACCAAAGCTCCACAGGAGCCTCAAATTAAAACGCTTTAATATCTTCACGGATCTGAGAAAACAAACCGAGCTGGGACCAGAAACAAAACACTGATTTAAAACAAATGTGAGGCAGGAATCTGCTCCCCATCCATTCAAGCTCAGGAGGCTTTTTATGTCAAAACTTTACATTTCCTGTGAAACTAATCTGACTTCTGGACTGAAAGTGAATGAAAAAGCAGCAAAAGTTCACAGGAAAGCCTTCAGAAAGTGTGGAGGACTGTTGAGTCAAGACCTCTTAGCCAGACCAGAGAGGATGAACTGTTGTTTTCAGCAGGAAGAGGTGAGGGCGGGGCTATGAGAGCAATACTGACTGTAATTAGTTCAGGATGTAATAACTACATGTTTTGGTCTGAAACCTGAAAACAAAATCATGAGCAAAACGTGAGCAGAGTTGCTGCTTCCAGCTGAGAGATTAGAGACTTTTTGTTATGGGGAAAAAAATGTTGAAACAATAATGAATTTATTTTTTTTGTTTAAAATGAATGTTATTCATTTTGTGTTTATTTCTTTCAAAACGCTTGCTCTGTTTAGCCAAGTTTAATAAAGAATAAAAGCTGATTTGGGTGCATCAAAGACACTTTTTCAGTAGATAAACTTGGTTCTGCCTTTTGTTATAAAAATCATACCTGTATTAGTTTTAGCATGATTACAAATAAAAAGTCCCAATCTGCAACAACCAAGAAATTTGCATTATTTTCAATTGCAGTTGGAGGCCGCACAAAATCAATACCAATGGCCACAAATAGCCCCTGGGTCGCACTTTGGACACCCCTGTTATAAACCCTGTTGATATAAATCCTGTTTATAGTGGTTTATAGAGGAGGAACAGTTCAATCAGCAAAATCTAATCAAAAATGGCTGACTACAGAACTGACTAAAAAAAATGAAATCACTTGAAAACAGTCAATATGACTGGTCATGATTTTTTTTATACATCTTCTCATACATTTGAGAATAAAAAGGTTTAAATCCTTTTGGAGTATTGAGATAATCCAGATGTACTTGAATGTAACATAGAAGTTCATTGAGATTCATCTGCTGTGGGGTGTTTGGGACCGGTTTACCGCTCCAGGTAGCTGGATTTGGACGTCAGCTGACAGACCCAGAGGTGTTTACGTCTGGATTGATGAGTTTCAGGTCAGTGGTTCAGCTCATAGCAGCTGTTGACATAAAGTTCTGGTTCGGTCCACCTTTCTCTCTCCTCAGCAGCTGCATTTGGAACCTTCATGTTCTCAAACAGCACTAATTGTCTGGGAGACCCGGTTCCGATCGGGGAGTAAAGCTGCAACATTTGCTACAATGTCAGCTGCTGAGGTTCACTTTCACACTGAACTGTTACACAACCCAAACTAATTGAAAAATCTGTTCCCCTCCTCGCCTATGGGGGCGCTACACCAAGAATCACTGAAGAAAACAACACAAAAACCTCAGAAGACCAGTGCAACTTCCTTTTCCACAAAATGTCAGCATCAGATTTTAGCGGTTACAGGATTTCTCTTTTGTCTAACGCTAAAGTTGCATTTGTTTTGGTTGTATTTACCCACAATGCCTTGCATTGTAGTTCACTTCCTGCTTTTGGAATGATGTCAACCAAAATGAGCCTGAGGTTTTTAGGCAAACCAGAGTTTGTTTTTGAGTTCGATTACAAATTCTGACTTTCCCAAACGAACTAGAGTTCGTTTAAAGCTGACTAAACATGGCTGGAGTGAACGGACCCTAAAATCTGTCGAATTCTGAAAGAGTTTAGGTAGAAAACAGGACGGCATTTGATCCAGGACTGACATAGATATTTTTGATGCGAATAAATTACACCTCCACTGTTCAGTGTTTTTTTTAACCTAAATTGTGATTTTAAGAATTTCTGGGAAGCCCAGTTTTGGATCCGGATAGATTCTACTTATTCCTCCAGAATCTTGTTTGCCATCTTATTTTTCCTCTGGTTTAGTTTTTCTACCAGAGACCAAAATGTCGTCAGATGAACTCATTAAGAATCAGCTGAAGCAGATTAAATGCCCACTGGTCCAAATTAAATCCTGCTGGAAAGACTCTCAGTTCACATCGTGAGATGTTTGTTGGAGCCCTGAGGCTCTGATGGACCGCTGAACCAGAACTGGGTCTAAAAGGTCTTTTTCAGTTCCTGGGGCTAAATGTGGACTCAGATCAGAACCAGAACCCTTAAAATCCCCAGTTTAAGTTGATAAGTGATACAAAAATATTTAGAGTAATTAATAAAATGTGCTGCTTTAACTACCTAGTCTGGTTCTATTTAGACTAATTTCTGTTTCATTTCCACCCAGCTGATTCTTCTGCCTGTAACTCTGATTTACCAATCTGTTGTCCACAGTTCTGCTTGGTTCTGCCTTAATGCTGTTCTGTTTTGACCAGAACACGTTGAAATATTTCACCTCTCACAGAGACATTTCCTGGTGAAATAAAGGTCGTGGTAATCAGGAAGTGTTTTTCTGTTGGACTGCACGTGAACAGATGCTGAAGTTCTTCTGGGTCCATCTGAGCAGAAACTCTGGGAGAACCAAACTGGAGCAGAAACGTTTCTCCATCTGAGCCTGTTCATCCAGGAAGTGAGCTGCTGAATATTTTCCATCCCCTCCTGTTTTCTCCCCTGTGTTGCACTGATTTTCTCTCTTTGTCTCCTATTTATTCCTGGATTCCTATTGGTCAGGGCAGAGGGGGGAGGCGGTCTGTGTTCAAGCTGCTGCTGGGGGCGGGTCGGGGTCCGCAGCAAAGCTTCCAGGAAGCTTCATGCAAGCTGCAGAATACCTGCATGAAGCAATAAGGAGTAAGCAGCCAGAGACAGAGCTGACTGTAACCAGGAAGACCATTTGATCTAACTTTAAAAACATCCAGATCTGCTGCTGAACTTTCTGGTCGTCATGGGAAAAATACAACAATCCACTCCTTCAAATTAACTTGGAAGTTTGTAAAGTTGATTTCTGCTTATTAATCACACTGACTCGCATAAAGGAGCAGAATAATATCTGTAGGGCCATTTACACATAACATTAAAGGGGCAGTATTATATGTTTTACAGGCACATAGTTTCATTTTATAGTACAGTCAAGTGACTATGTTACCTTCAGTTGTTGTAAAAATGCTAAATATATTATATATGACTTAAAAGAAAATTTACTTCTTGATTTAATGGCTTGAAATTGGGCCTCTGTCTCTTTAAACACTCCTGCCCTTTCTGAAACTCCGCCTTCAGGAAGTCATCAGAACATGGCTCCACTTTTAACCCTTTAACAGCATTTTTACCAGAATTGCATTAAGTAGGAGCTCATAATGAGGTGTTTGCTAATTGCTGCTGGCTAGTCTGAAGGAGCTGAACGTAGGGAGGAGCTTTGTCTGGAAGGTGGAACTAGTTCTACCCAAGATATTTGGCACAGCTGAATGGTTGTCATGGAGATTTCTCAAACATGCACGAAAGAATCAAAACAACAGTCCATGTATGTTTTTGATGAGAGAAAAACATTATAACATGATGTAAAGCTAAAACAAGTTTACATGATAACACTGCTCCTGTAAACAGCACCAGACTGCATGGAGATAATCAGCTGCTGGGCCTCATTGGTAATTACACCCTGCAGATGAGCGATAATCACAAAGCACCGGTTCCATTAATCCATCTGCTTTATGTTACTTTTTCAAACAGCAGCTATTAAACTCAGCTGAACATGGCGGACAGCTTCCAGCAGAGACAGGTCTGCCTCCCTGGTTTGGTGTTGTTGCTAAGTAACGTGATGGCGAATGGACATCATCCAGAACTTCAGAAATGTGACCTTTAAATGGTTCTGTTACAGGACGACTATAGCTGACCCGTGTCCTGCAACTTTTAGATGTGCCACTCCTGCACCACACCTGAACAGAATAATTAGTCGTTAGCAAGACTCTGGAGAACTTATCTACACAAGGAGGAGGTAATTAAGCCATTTGATTCCAGTGTTTTGTAGCTGTGGCACATCTAAAAACTGCAGGACAGCAGTCCTTGAGGACTATCGTTTGACACCCCTGGACCCTATAGGGTTAGATCCCTGCCAAAAACCCAGAAGAGCGCATTAACCAATCACAGCAGAGCATTTAAGTCCCGCCCTCCAGGCATGAAGCTGCAGCTCCTTCAGTGACAGACAGCTGCACAAAGGAGTGTTACCACAGATCCTTTTCAATTTAGTTCAGTAACACATTATGATAACATAACATGGTCATAATATAATGTAAATATCACAGAAGAATAATCCTGCTGTGATGTCAGTGATGTGTGACCTCATTTTAAAGAGGCAGTATTGTATAAAACCGACTGAGCTTTACATCATGTTATAATGCTATTCCTCCCACTCGGCTCCTTCAGACTAGCCAGCAGTATTTAGGGGATACCTGGTGGAGCTGAGCTTTTCATATGAGCTACTTCTCAGTTCAACGCTGGTTAAAACATTGTTAAAGGGTTAACAGAGGAGCCATGTTGTAATGACTTCCTGAAGGCGGAGTTTCAGAAAGAGCAGTTTTTAGAGCTGTTTTTAAAGAGACAGAGACCCAATTTAAAGAATCTAATTTTCTTTTAAGTCATATTTGATATACGTAGCAGGTAACATAGTTACTTGATTACGCTATGAAGTGGCACTGTGTGCCTGGAAAACACATAATGCTGCCACTTTAAAGGTGCAGGATGTGGGATGTACTGACCTCTGGTGGTAGCAGCGTCAAACTGCTGACTGCTTCGCATTCTGGATGTGGATGACAAATGAGAAGAGAAAGCGTTCGCCGTTTTCCATCAGAAGGTGGAACGCTGCAGCTTCTCAGAACATCTGGACTCAAACCAAAAGCCCGGATGATTCAGACACAAAGAGC